AAAGCCGGGACACATCTCTTGACCAAAGGTTTCAATATGGTAATCCCAAATTTGGCAAGTACTGTAATCACTATAGCACCTTAAAATTACAAAAGAAGAAACAGAACGTTCCCTACATTAAAAGCAATTCAGGGATACATAAAAGAAATTGATGAAGATCTTTTAAATGAGGGAAGATGGGAAACACAAGATGACTTCAACTTTTCATCAATTTTTAGTATTGGTTCAAATACTTTATATCTTGTGCATAACTTCTCTTATAGTATAATTACTTTTAATTATAGTATAATTACTTCTATAGCATAACTTCTTTTATAGTATAATTACATCAATTAATATTTTTATTAATAAAATTAATAAAGACAATAATACTAAAAAAGCAAGTAGCACGGCTAAAAGAATCTATTGAGAAATTGATATTGTTCGGGAATTTATCAGTGTTGTCTCTAGAAAATAAAACTTCAGTTACACTTTTTTTTTTTTTTAAATGTTTATTTATTTATTTTTTCCCCCAAAGCCCCAGTAGATAGTTGTATGTCATAGCTGCAGATCCTTCTAGTTGCTGTATGTGGGACGCGGCCTCAGCATGGCCCGACAAGCAGTGCGTCCGTGCACTCCCAGGATCCAAACCCGGGCCGCCAGCAGCAGAGCGCGCGCACTTAACCACTAAGCCACGGGGCCGGCCCTCAGTTACATTTTATGTTTTATAATACTTAAATATGTCAGTACCTCAGGATCTGTAACACTGCAATTTATACTTCCACTCTTCCCTGAAATGCAAATCTTCGGAGAGAAAATTCATTAGAGAACAGGCGGTACATCTTTCCCATTGCCTCTCCTCTTTACTAAACTCCTCAAGCGTCTCATATTGCTTTGCTGATAGCTTTATGAATAAGGCTCAGATTGTAGTGGCAGTTTTGCCACTGCTTTGTAGTGGCTTGGGACTAAGTCAACTTAGCTAAGCTGGAACTGTGTCCCAGAGTTCTCTTTCCTGTATGGTTCTGTATGACCATGAGAGACGTTCTGTGTGAAGTCCAGAACGTAGAAGTGAATAAGTCATACATTTTATGCTCTGAAAGATCTTGCTAATCTGCTGTTTACCTACTTGGTGTATCAGGCTTATAGCAACTCCAACTCCTACCAGGTCCCCTCCTTCAGCTTCTCTGAGTCCTGGGCCAGGTGTGGGTGAGGTTCCACGATAACAGGTGCCAGCTTCTCCTGCAGGTCACCCACAGCATAGAGGTGGGACATAGTCAGAGACTGAAGTGGGTTCCAGTTTGTCCTCATGGGTCTCAGTGTGCCCTCATGCATTCCAGCTTGTCCTTGCTCTCCTCTACATCCAGCTTTCCTTCTTATCTGCTGATCTGACACAACTATAGTAACTTCAGGCTCAACACTAGATGCAGAATCAACAGCCCGCAGAGATTGCTCCACCAGCTCCCACATTTGTGCAAGGTCTAGCCCTTATAATAAATCCCTTATTCTGTACCACGTGTAGCCATTCTGCTTCTCAGATAAAACTCTAATTGCTGCAAGCTTCTATGTACAACATCATGTTCCCTTTGCATTTCAATCAGTGTGTTAAAACCTCCTCAAAGTCATAATATCCACTGCCTTCAGTAGAAGAAGATAGGCATTTGGTGGTAGGAGAAAAGGGAGGGATGCTTAGAAAGGTAAAACCTTGTGTAGGAAGCTCCCAGAAGCTTCTCAATGCTAAAAATGACTGTGCCAGTTATCAATTTATTGCCTCTCATCTCCAAATCGACCTTTCCTTGCCCTGCTTTGTGATCCTGAAGCTAGACCCTGTACACATTTCTCCTTTGTCAACAGGGGGCCCTGGAGAGACACTGGAGGAAGAAGGGAATTCTCATCCCGGTTCTGTTGTGCTCTTCTCTGCTTGCTCTTGTGGTGGGTGGAGGCCGGGAGCACAGGACATCCAGTGGCGCTCACCCCTAGTAAGTTTTAGTGGCATCATTTGGGGGACTTCTCAGTGGGTTTTGCTACCTTCCAGCAGGCAGCTTCCCAGTGAATTCCTGTGGTACCTCTGTGGGCACCTTCTTAGTGACGTTCAAGTCTTCCAGATGCCCCAACGGACGGCATCCCAGCAAGCTGGGCCGACTCTCCAGTGGGCTGGTTTCCTGCTGCCAGCCCTGGCCTGCTGCATCTCAGGAACGTCTCTGCCACCCAGTGGGCCACAGCCACCCCTTTTCAATGGGGTCTGAATCTCAGCCCTGGGTGAAGGGAGGGCCCTCTTCCAGATTTGTTCCTTCCTTGGTACTCTGCCTCAGCTTTAGAGGGAGTAGCTGTTCTTTACATGTGCTATTCCTGTGTTCATTAGAGTTTTCTTTACCCCTTAGGAGGAAAATCCCCTCCTACTAGTTAATAATTTTTTATGTTCAACTTTCCCTGTGTGAATTACCGTGTACTTTCTGATTCCTTACTGGACACTGATAAAATGCCTTTGTAGCTATTAAAAAAAAAAAGCAGAATTTAATTTTATTAGTTCAGGATTTGTTTTAGAAGAAACATAAATTACTTTTAATGTGAGTATATAAGTGAAGGGATTGCCCAAATGTGCAGTTTAGAGAGGCTATTTGCTTTCTTTGGCCACCTAGAAGGAGTATTTCTCAAACCAGGCCCCATGGATCCCTGTGAGCAAACCCTGAGTCAACTATTGCTATGAAACAAACTCCCCTAAACACAGTGGTTAAAACAACAACCATTTATTATTTCTCACATGTTTGACAGAAGGACTCCAAAGTCACATGCCAAATGGTGAAGCTATGAGAGAGGGTGAAAAATTGGGGCTCAAAATGCAGTCTCTACCACAGGGTCCAAGGACATCATCAAAGGTCTGTGAGTTTAAATCGTATTTTAAAATTTTGTTTTTTCAATTCAATGACAAATAAATAAAGTAATCACTGGTGTAGACTTCAGTGTCTACATTTGCATTTATGGTCTGGTTCTCACCATGGGGTCACCTTAAGTGAGTGTGTACAACTTTCTCTATTTTTCACTTGTGGAGTTGTAGCTTTTTTTCTTTCACTTATTCAGTGTATTCCAATGAACAGTCACCCCCATTGATTATGTGTTTACCATAGGCTTTTATAGAATATAATACCCATATAAAAAAGTGTGCAAACTGTAGTTCATGAATTTTACTAAAGTGAACACTCCTGCGTGAGCTAGGTGCTGAACACTGAAGGGACTGTTTCTCAAACTGGCCTCTGCAGAGACCATCTCAGGCAGAGTTCCATCAGTTCTAAAGCTTCACCAATGATATACAAAGAATCTGGCTATGGGAAGCCCAGGGGCTGAGCTGGCCTCTGACCAGGAGAGATGGGAGAACAGAGCGAAATCCAAGAGGTTACTGGAGAGGCAAAGAACCAAGGAACCACACAGAGGTGGGAAACAGTAGGTTTGCTGAAGAAAACTGGTGGGCCACGAACTCTGAACCCTTCAGAGCAGGTGCCGCTAAATTTCAATCAACGTGTAACACTGATTTTTGCTATGACCCGTACTGCTATGGCAATGTTTTGAAAAAGGCTGAGCTGACATAGTACAGAGGAAAGTCCAACTTGCTGCAAATTACTTGGACCAGCATAGCCTAAGTCCAGGCCCATGCCAGAGAAGATGACATATACAAACTGACCAAGAATGTCCTCAAACAGTGACCAAGTGACAAACAGTACAATCACTATGGGTGTTTTTACAGATTATGTGAGACACAATCATTCCCTTGTAGTGATTGTGTATATATGTGTGTTTTTAATAAATTTTTAATCTTATAATAGTTCTAAATTTACAGAAAAGTTGAAAAGATTGTTCTCATATACCTCACACCCAATTTCCCCTATTATTAACATCTTACATTATTATGGTATAGTTGTCACAATTAATGAACCAATACTGATACATTATTATTAACTAAAGTCCATAATTTATTCAGGTTTCCTTAGTTTTTACCTAATGTCCCATCCAGGGTACTACATTACATGGAGTTGTCATATCTTCTTAGGCTCCTCTTCACTGTGACAGTTTCTCTTTCTCAGAGCTTCTTTGCTTTTGATATCCTTGACAGTTTCGGGGAGTACTGGTCAGATATTTTGTAGAATGTCCTTTAATTGGGATTTGTCTGGTAATTGTATTTTAATTATTGCTGGAATATTTAGAATTGTTGGTTCCTTCAAACATGTCACCAAAAATGTCAGAACTGGAAAATGTACTTTAAACACAAAAAGTCTGAAAACTACTAGTACATCACAGCAGACTGTAAATATACATGATGAAGTTGTTGAGATGATTATTCCACTATTCAAACTTCAGTTTCAAATAGCAAGGTAGGCTTATGGACCCTTCCCACAGAGGATGGATAGCAATCTCAATTTATAAACTGTCTGCATGTCACTCAAAATGGCCCAGCCCATCAGCCACCCAACTCTTGTTCCCCAGCTGCAACTTAAAAGGGAAGACAATAGTTTAGGTTACCATAGTAATGATTCAACCTGAGGTAAAAGGGAAGGTTAAATTAAGCATAATGAAATTCTAAGTTGTTCCATAGTTTTCAATAGAAAATATTTTAAAGGTACAAGCAGAAACAATAATCAAACTTTCAATGAAATATTGTTCTTTTTGTTTTTCAAATGAGTAGTCCAAATTAGGGAACAGAAAGGATTACATCGTATTAATTTGTAATGTCTGGTACCATAGAAGTACTCTAGTTGTGGAAAAGCTGTTGTAGATATTCTAGTAATTAAATCCGTACAAGTTACAGACTTACAACACCTTTTAGGAGCCCACTCGGCTCTCAATGATGAGTGAAGTCACCACTCATAAGTGTTTGGAGCACTTAACACTATTGGCAATGCTGGAAATGGTACAATGTTTAGCTCAATAAAAAAGATCATATCTGATATGTCCCCTGGAGCTCAAAATTAAAATATTTGTACTGGAATACACACAGGCCTAAAGATGTGTTCTGTGAACCAGAAAGTACTCACCGTGTTGGCCAGCTCTAGATAGCTTCCTCCTACAGAGTTGCCAAAATGCGGCGACTGTGTGAGCAGTTTGTGGAGAGCAGCAGCCTGCTGATGCAAAGAGCTTCCGCCATACTCGAGAAGCTTCTGTAGGGCTGACTGACTCTGCAAGTCCGGGCTCTGGAGATCCCTGGCACCCGAGTCGTATTCCCAGCTCTCCCTGGCTGCTGATAAGGCACCTAGGTCCAGGAGAGTCAGGGAAAATAAAAAGAGGTTTCCTCATTAGCCTGTGGGTGGCCAGGAGGCAATGATTTGGAACCTCCTAACACTTCCATGAGCCAGCGTGTCAGAACACATGTGGCGCCCAGGCTGCATGCTAAGCACTTTCCCTTTCAAACTGACACATGGGGAGGCTGGAGATAAAAGCAGTTTTAGGCAAAGCATTCAGAAATAACTATCCAATGAATACGTGTCCCCTAAACAGAAATGCTTAGCAAAAAAAGCAGCAGAGAACCAAGGAAAGGGAATCCAGATCAGAGCCACACCTACCTGTGATTTACACACCGTTACGGTATGATTCGCTTACTTACTGTAATCCTTTTTCCCAGTTGAGGAAGAAGGAAGCAAGTGAGAAGATAGAAAGTTAAGCTATGGCACTTTTATCGTAATTTTCTACTGTCAGCGTACTCTTACCTGGAAGAAGCTACAGGAAGCTAGACTGTATTTGCTAGTTAGGTGTAGCCATGCAGCTGAGTTTTGAGCAATAGAATGTGAACAGAAGCAATAAGCATCACTTCAGGGCCTGGCTCATAAAACCCCCAGTGTGTGATTCTCCAGGCCCTTTGCCTTCTGGCCTGGTTTAAATGGGCATGGCACCCTTGGAAGCCATGTGGTACAGATGGTGAAGCCACAGATGGAAGATGCCTGGATCTCTGAATTATCTCCTGCAGCAGGGCTGTCTGCTGATCCCAGGTACCCTGTTTTGACTTTATGTGATTAGGAAAGAGCAACTTCTTTTGTGTTTGATTCACTGTCTATTTTTGGTTTGTTTGTGAGAGCAGCTAGTATTGCCTTAATTATTCAGCAGATTAAAACCTAATAAAAGATGCTAATAATTATAATACAATTGGAAAGTACAATGAAAAAGTAGACCTAGAGGAGTGGTATCTAACCCAGTCCTCCTGAAGAAAGGTGGGGAATGTTCAGGGAAAGCTTGCTAGAGGAGAAAATCTGATGCTTCAGTTGTCACCTTTGCTAGAAAAATTGGATTTCGAGTGAAGCCTGCTTCCTTGTGTTGCTCGCTTCTGAACATAAGTCCCTAGTGGGTGCAGCTGGTTGGTGGAGCCTGGGTCACACGCCTCTGTCTTAGCTGCAAGGGAGGCTGGGAAGTTTGTTTTCTGGCTTCTACTTTGGGAGGTGGGATTTGTGAGGTGAGACCTTTCCTATACACAGGAAGAGTATTCAAAAGGACTGGGCAGCCAGAAAACATGGCAAAGGTCTACACACAGGCACCGTGCCAGGTACTGGGGATATAGCAATGAGCATGATAAATTGTAGTCCCTGCCCATGGAGGTTTCATTTTGGTGGGTCTTTAATATATGACTTTTAATGGCAAAAAAAGGGGCTCATTAAAATGATTTAATTTGTACCATGAAATGAGACCATATACAGATTACTCTATAATTTACTTGAGTATAATTACATATAGCAAACTACACATTGTGTACAGTGGGTTCTGATATGAATGTCCAATTGCTCCTTCTTAGGTATTGGTGAATTTAGTCAATGTGATTCAGAAAACTGTCTTTGGCTGGAACCACTTTAGATGGTTTCCCCCTATGAATCATATTCTGCTGCTTCTTCAGTCAGTCTGACCCAACACTCTTTTTGTACAGTCCTGTAGAGCTGGAGTGACATGTCTTTGTCTCAAAGCAGACAATTCTGTCACTATGTTTGCAATTGCTCAAAGTTTATTTTAATATTCACGTCTATCAACTGTATTGCAAGGGTGGTTTTGCTTTCCTTTAACATAGACTGCAGAATGCCCACTCTCCCTCCTCCTGCTCCTCTGAATGCTCTATCGTCTGCCTGGCTGCCTCTGTCTGGCTGCCTCATGGTCTCTGTCCTGGCCCCTGCAACAATGTGGCAAAAAGACTGACTGAGGTCAGAGTTGAAGAATGGGATAAATCATGGATGGCCTTATATCTCATATATAAGACAAATGGGCATAAGGTTAGGCCCCTGCCTTTAATGTTTCACCACAATATCCCCAGTACCTTACACATGGTCTGTAACATATCAGGCATTTAATATACATTTACTGAATGGATTGCTGAATTATCCATGGCTGTAGTATTATAGGGTTTCACTTAATCGGGAAAAGCAACGTGGAGATTAATTTTTAAAATCAAAATAAATTATACACTTAAACTTTTTTCTTTAGGCAAACAGGGAGCCTCACTTTCAAATAATAAAATACAACAGTTCTGGGATAAGACGGCCCAAGGAAGCTTCATTTGAATTTATTATGCTCTTTTTTTTTTTTTAATTTTATTTATTTTTTCCCCCAAAGCCCCAGTAGATAGTTGTATGTCATAGCTGCACTTCCTTCTAGTTGCTGTATGTGGGACGCGGCCTCAGCATGGCCGGAGAAGCAGTGCGTCAGTGCGCGCCCGGGATCCGAACCCGGGCCGCCAGTAGCAGAGCGCGCACACTTAACTGCTAAGCCACGGGGCCGGCCCTATTATGCTCTATTAACAGACCCAAACCCAGTTTCTGGCAGAGTCATATAATCAAGTTAGCCAAGCTCCACGTTAATCAGCAAGATCAAAAGGCCCTCACACTATTACCATAGCAATTTTTGTTGAAGTGATGCTGAGGAAGTCAGATCTTCTTCTAAGGAGCCAAGTCAATCATATTAGCATCCTCATAAACGGACCCCAAAAAGGGAAGTGCATTTTTTTAATACAGTAGACTATTCCCATTACTCTCTTTTAACCTTTCTTCATATCAGATTTTTTTTCTGGATAAAAACCAACATTCCTGAGACAAAAATTAGTTATTTTATTAGGATGATCTCACTGAAAAATGTCAAAAATGTGTGTCTGGTAACCATCTTCCTCTTGCCCTTTGAAGCAGGATGGTACTTGATGTTTCTAGGCTCACACTCAGCCTTTTGCCAGCCTTGCATCACTCCCTTGCTAACCTCAAAAAAAGGCCTGTTGACCTCAGGGAGATGGCTGTGCTTTCTTTTCCTAACATGAACACCATTGCAGCTCTTCTGTCCCCCAGGCTCACTAGGCTTTCTGGTGTCTCTTCTTATAAGGACACTAATTTCATCGTGAGGTCCCATCATCATGATGGGACACTAATCCCATCGTGAGGTCCCATCATCATGATGGGACACTAATCCCATCATGATGTCCTCATCATCATGACCTCATCTGACTCTAATTACCTCCCCAAAACCCCATCTCTGAAGCCCATCACATTGGGGGTTAGGGCTTCAACATATGAATTTTGGGGGGACACAAACATTCAGTCCATAACAACCACTGAGTACTTGCTCTCCAGGCCAGTAAGGAAACGGACTGCACGGTATCTCTTTAAATACCAAAGGCCAAAGCACTCCCTGGGCCTAGAGGTCTCTGCGCACACAGAATCAAAGGAGGCCATCATTTCTGCCACTGTCATCCTCTAGGGCACTTTGAAGTAAGGGGTGAGGTGTATTCTTTTTTTTTTTTAACCAGAATATTTAGTGTTTAAAGGTGGTAGAGCACAGATTCTAAATGTTTCCCTTATCAGAAAAGCATAGGAAACAAGTGGCATTTTGACATTTTTATAAAACACATCACTGGGAAAAACCCTGCTCTCAGAGAGAATGCTGGAACAGAAAATCTGCCAAACACTGAGATCCTTGCTCTGCTAGGTACTTGGCAGCTACATGTTAGTGCTTTAATCCCATCTTCAAGGTGCCACCCAAGTTTGGCTCCAAGGCCTGCAATTACTGTCTTATTCACCAAAGGCACCTGCCACCTTCCCAGCAGGTGAAGCCCCCCGTGAGAATAAGGCAAGCCAAAGCATTAACACCTAAAATTCACCTTAAAGATAGTAGCAACAATCATGATACCTAACATCTGTTCAAAGCCACTAGGAGCCAGGCACTGTTCTAAGCATCATACATGTATTATCTTATCTAGTCCTACCCAAAGCCTATGAATGACTAAATCATTTTTTCCATTTCTAGAAGAGGATATTTTGTCTCTTTCAGCTTAATTTTGTAGGCATTGCCCATTGGTATAAAATAGTGGTTAAAGCTGGGGTTTTGTAGTCAGATTGCTTGAGGTCAAATCAAGGGTCGCCATGACCAGCTATGTGACCTCAAGCAAGTTATTTAACCTAAGCCTCAGTTTCTTCATCTTTTAAATGAGGATAATAGCATGTAGTTCACAGAAGTGTTGTGAGAATTAAATAAGATTCAAATATGTGGAACATATTAGACAATCCCTGGCATATGATAAACTGATCAACAAATGTTAGCAATTATCTGGTCACACTTCAGAATTTTAGTTATTTGGAATCCATTTTGGACCACTTAATAGAGAACAAATATAGGGGAGAAATGTATACTCTCTCTCAGCTTCTGAAAAGTACCTGTTAAAATTACTAATTCTTTTTTTTTGTGAGGAAGATTAGCCCTGAGGTAACATCCGTTGCTAATCCTCCTCTTTTTTGCTGAAGAAGACTGGCCCTGGGCTAACATCTGTGCCCATCTTCCTCTACTTTATATGGGATGCTGCCACAGCATGGCTTGACAAGTGGTGCATTGGTTCGTGCCCAGGATCCGAACCTGTGAACCCTGGGCCTCCAAAGTGGAGCGGGCGAACTTAACCACTACACCATTGGGCCGGCCCTAAAATTACTAATTCTTGAAAAACAAACCTTTGGCACCTAACCAGTGGCTAAAATTTCATCAATAGTTTTGTACTTAATATTATCATTATTGTAGACAATAAAAATAGCCAATTAGGTCAGGGCCAAAGTCAAAGTCTTTGGTTATTAGGTTTGATAGACTTTGCTTCCCTAGTCTACCTGGCCAACTCTTATCTCCAGAGGACAACTGGCCTTCCCAAAACTTGTGGCCAGCACCGTGAGGAAACCTGCAGAGCCCAGCAGCAGTAGCAGTAGCTCAAAAGCAGAGCACCTATGATTTATTCATCAGATCTGTGCTCTGGCCATC